TGCGTTGATAGATCACTATGTCAGTCAGTCACCTTTGACTTTTATATCTATAGATTATTACACGTGATAGTCTGCATAGAACACCTTATTTACTCATACAAATTTTGGTTCCTCATTTAATTATAATTATATGTAAGCTGCAATTGTTAGTTTTGAAAATGAAATGAAAAATGTTACACAAATCCGATTTTCTTAGTTAATTCTCTCTTTTTGTCAAAATCATAATAACAGGCAGACTGATTTAATAACTAAAATCACGTAAAATTGAAGACTCAGAAGACTAACGCAATGACACTAAACCACAATAAAATAGAAACATCTGCCATGTGCGTGTCGTACCATGCGCAGTATAAGGTTTCGTAGTTGCCTGTAGTTACCACAATATATCAAATATAACGCATCTTAATTTTCTGTATCGCAAATTAAAAAAAAATCAATTGTGAAATAGTTTTCTTTAGATTTTGTTTTTCAATGCAAGCTTTTATGCTACAATAACTTCATCTATGTTACTATTAATGTCTTCTTCTAAGGAATTTTCAAAAACTAAGAAATTATCTTTAACCATCTTTAAACGACTATTACTCTTGAACTAACAAAAAACGATAGTGGAGTAAAAATAAATTACGATGGTTCCTAATCTTAGGTGGGCAATTGGGTACACAGTTACAGGTTCTCATCAATGGGACGTCCAAAAAAACAACGGAAAAGAAACGGTATCCGTAGTCCACCCGGGTGAACCAAGGGTAATAACAAATTTCAGGAGTCCACCCAGGTGAACTTTTTAGGTAGACCACGGGTAATAAACGACTCAATCACGCTGAAACACATAAATAGCTCTGGATTTAATGCAACACCTCAGGATAACCACAAAGGATTTTTTAAACGAGGCGCAAAAAAGTACCCCACTACACCTGATGTTTAGTGTAAGTGGAGTCCAGTCGCGAAGATACATGATGCGGCAGAAGCTGTACTACTACAGACATCCTTACCTTGCCGGCCTAAATCCGATCCAAACTATTTTTATTAAATATCTTTATTTTCAACTAATGAAAGATTACTTTTAAAGTTATACTTCTTTAGGCGCGTTATGAAAAAATGATGAGAGTGAAATTTTAAGATGCACGCGCATCACTGCACAAAAAATTAATAGCATGAAGTTGGTCGCTGCTGTTACTTTTGTGTTTTCCGCACATTAAGAAAATCTACCAACAAAATAGAAATAGAATCTCTATTTAGTGGGTGCTAACGACTGCATTGTGAAGGCCTATCAAAAGTATTTATTAATCTGTAACAACGGAACCAAAGCGCGATTCAGGAGACTACAGCGCCATCTCTTGGCCATTGGTGTCGTAGAACCAAAAACCACATCTTTATTTTCTGTAATAAAGTAACAGTTATAGGTATTCATATTTATAATATCAAAAGTATTTATTAATCTGGAACAATGGAACCAAAGCGCGATTCAGGAGACTACAGCGCCATCTCTTGACCATTGGTGTAGTAGAACCAAAAACCACATCTTTATTTTTTGTAATAAAGTAACAGTTATAGGTATTCATATTTATAATATTTATCCACATGTTTCTAGTTTGTATATTCGGAATACGTGTTTGAGTTTCATACAAGTGCAAATCACATATGTTCTAATAAATTATATTCAGTAGCAATTTTAATTGAATATTTTGATTATTTATTTATTTTTTCAAATTAAAACTGAACTTTATTGACTGTGTCCTTTTCCAGACTTTTTATTAATTTATTGTAATTAATTATTTGCATGCAATTAAAAACTAATTTTAAACGATGCCAAAGAAGAATAACTTCTCACGCGCCTACATAAGTACACGCACCCATTTTTTTTAAAGTAAAATAGTTCAACTATTATCAAGATGAACCTTGACATGGACCTATACAATACATGGACCAATGCATGAACCATGAACCTATATTCTCGATCATAAATGGCGAAAACTTTAGCGCCATCTATTACAATATTGCGAAATTACGGAAATAGTACTGCAAGCACATATAATAATGATGCTTTATAAAGCACGTCACAGTAGTTTTCAAAGCGTTTTTCAGTTTGCTAGCATCACATCGGAAAAAGCTTATTTATGGCTTTATTTTAATCATAAAATATCAGGCCTGAATCCGATCCCCTACCCCGCGGATACCTGGAACCCTACTCCCCAGCAGAAACGTTACGCCACCAAAAGGTAGTTTATTTTCCTCTGGTCCTCTTTAAGGTGGAGGTTGCTTCCCCATAGGAGTGCTCCAATTCGAGCGGAAAATCTGCTGTGCAAAGAAATGCTTTTTATTTCAGTGAAAGTTTTCCAATGGCCAATTTCCCAAAATCTATACAGACTAAATGCAGCCCTTCTATTATTAGAAATGTGTAAGTTTTCACAATTGTATTTTTGGATTCCCAATCACATAACAAACTATTAAGAAACTACTAACCTGAAAATAAAAGCACAAAGATAGCATAGTTTATTACCTAGATACAAACATAGGGTAATAATATCTTATGGCGCAACAATATTTGGTACTAACCTGCGGGATTCCCTATAAAACCAGCTACATAGCTTATTGATCCACGCTTAGTTTTTTTTTATCAGCTAGGACCAAAAGCTGTGCCAAAAGGCAGTGGGCTGCGAGGGGTGACAGAAGCTGCATAAGGGTATTTTGATTTTAAGATAAAAATGTTGTAACTATTTCTATTAAATATCTTTTGTTTTCCACTAATTAAAAAGGTCACTTTTTAAAAGTTAAGTAGTTCAACTATTATCAAGATGAACCTTGACATGGACCTATACCTATACAATACATGGACCAATGCATGAACCTTGAACCTATATTCTCGGTCATTTATGGCGAAACCTTTAGCGCCATCTATTACAATATTGCGAAACTACGGAAACAATACTGCAAGCACAAATAATAATGATGCTTTATAAAGCACGTCACAGTACTTTTCAAAGTGTTTTTCAGTTTGCTAGCGCCACATCGGAAAAAGCTTATTTATGGCTTTATTTTAATCATAATATTTATTTTTACATTACCCACCTGGCTATTAGCATTGTCATTGTATATGATTGCGTTAATATAAAAACACACAACGTTTAATTGTATATTAGAAGTTATTATGTATGCAGTCGTTAGCAAATAAAGCTCTTTTAGATAGCTATCAATAAAAGATTATTATATGCAAAAATCGATAGTTCCTACGTATTTCAACTACTATAATCATCATATCTTTGCTGAGGTTCTTATAATGAGAATATGAACGCTGCGATTCAACAGGAAATGCGTAATCGTGCGGCACGTCAGAACACAAATAGTGATGTCTTGGAATGAGATAACGATAAAAAATTCAATCTTATAGTAGTTACCGGCAAATCAAGCTAGTTTCTTATAAATTTTCTTCTTTCCTGAGTGAAACAAAGTTTAAAAAGGTAATAGAGAGTAATAGGAGAGATTTTTCAAAATAATCATAATTAATTACCTTAAAAAAGGACATATTATGTCATGAACAATAAAAAATATTAAAATAATTGATTTATTATATTTTAAATTCCACATTTAGATTCAACTCGAAAATCTATGTTTTACAGTATTCTATTCTAACTTTTTTATTTAATTGAAGTATGATATGATTATTTAAGAAAAAAATACTCTTTAACTTTCTAAGTCTACAGGTATGAAAAAAACAATGAACTCAAAAACAGTGCAAACGTTTCTGTGGCAAAGCGGCCTCCGTTATGTTAATTCTTATAGATATGAATGCGTTTTCCATAGTTTTACTTTGTGCTTGTCACTTGTCCTTCCTTGTAAATACGTTTATATACATACATCTCTTTACCTCAAGTTTTGTGAATTTTATTTATTTGCCTGTGACTATTTGTACGTGAGATCTCTCTCCGTCCGCTATAGTTCTACCATCAAATTGTAAACCGCTTATTTCGATTATTTTAATCCTGAATCTGGACTTTTCTTACTGGCCAGTTTAAATGCTCATTATTATTGATGAGTAGTAATAAATTTTATGTTAATGTAACACGTCTGAGGATAGAAAAAAAATTGATCTGCTGGTTTGCATGGTTTGCATATAGAAAAAAAACCGAGCGCGTCAGACATTGAGAAGATATCTTACGTAAACTCTACAGTACTTCCTATTAAAAAAAACATCGTATTTGGACGCGACCAAAAGTAGTGGCAGTTTGTTGAAATTTTGCAAACACTCAGGTTTGGTTGGAGTACTTCACAAGGGTAAGGTTTCCTCCCATATGTTTATCTGCCGCGCTCAAGTAAATCCAAAAATCCTCGCTTGGGTTCCCCTACTATTATATGTGTATGTAAACGTACCAAAAAAGTTGTTTTCCAAATTAATATCGACAACATCATCCCATCCCCAGGAACAATGCGTGACACTTATTTCGCATGCATAAAGGACAGTGATCGCGCATCCTGCGTACGCGATAGTACAAACTTGGTGTCAGATTCACATGCCAATATTATGAATATGAGCACAGACTCAACATTGTATGTTAATAGAAGCTTATTTTTTAGAAAGACCTCTTTTTCGACATAAATTTACTCGAAACTTCGAGATCGTAAGGCTCACAACTCAAGCCGATTCAAAACACGGCGGAAGATATTGTAATGAGAAGAACCGATAAGAAACCAAGCACTGATGCTGTCCAATTATCAACGTTTTAACCAAATATTTCTGTACCAATTCATCTTTCTTCTTTCTCATAAACTAAACAGAGATTACGGTTGTATCATTAGGTAATCCCTTTCTCTCCTATCATAAAACACCCAAATTTCGGTTAAGAGATCTGTTTAATAATAACTATATAATATTATAATTTGTCATCAACTCAATTAGATTCTGCAATTTGCCATTTTTAACCGGTATAAACTTTGATGGTTTCGGTTAAAATCGAAGCATTTGTACTTCATTACCTTAATTTTAAGAAAAAAAACATTATTTCCACTCACATGATCGTACTCTCGCAAACTCCATCCCCTTGAAGGTTGCATGTGCCATTACAGTTGTCATCGAGCTTGAAACATACGTTAGGATACGTTTCATTCCTCTGGTAACCCTCGTAGCACGTACAAACATTAGGTTCAGAGCAGATGCTGTTAACACATGAATTATTGCAGACTGCTTCGCAAACACCATTGTCTTTTGTGTAACCTTCATTACATTCGCAAACACCAGGTGATGAGCAAACGCCGTTAACACAATCCTCACAGTCTGGTTCACAATGAGTATCATTGATAGCTACGAAACCTTCCAGGCAAACACAACTGTTAGGAGCCACGCACTTCCCGTTAACACAACTGTCGCATACCGGGACACATGTGAAGTTATCTCCGAGTCTATAACCCGAAGAACATGAACAAGTGTTGGGTGCGTCGCACGTCCCGTTGACGCAGGGATTGTCACATTTCGGAACGCATTTGAAATTGGAATCGATTTCAAATCCCTGGTCGCATCTGTAGCAATGAGTCTGGTTGTAGGTTTGAAAGTTTTCGTGGCATGTACATGTGTTGTTTGAAGTGCAATCGGCGTTGAAGCATGAAGATTCGCAGGTGGGAGTGAAGCAGGTGTTGGGGTGTTCTGGGTCGAGAAGCAGAGGCGGGTCGCATTGGCATCTTTCGGGGGCTACGCAGCGGCCCCCGTGACAGCCCGTGCTGCAGAGAGGCACACATGTATCCTGCTGCGACTGGTACTGCCAACCGCTGCAGCACATCATCACGTCCGAAGTGACTACATATGGCTGCGAAAAAAAAACTTATTAAAACAAAGTTGCAAACACAACTAAACTACACAATGACCTTTTCATACATATTTGAAATGAAAATTGTTCTCTTATTTTCACTTTGATTAGATATAAGACGAACGGGTAAAACAAAAAGGTTATTATTACTACCCGTCAGAGAGAATCATTTCGAACCAATGAATTTAATGTTAGGGTTCAATAATGAAAGTACTTTGCAACTTTAATTATGTAAAATGTGTAATAATTATGGAAAAGTGAATCCTTTATTGCCTGAATAATTTATTAATTAACTGATTACCCATTCACATTTTGTTGCTTACCCTGTGATTCATCCTGTTAAAATTATAATAAAACGTTCAAAAGCCCATTCCACAATATTAGGAACGAATTGGTTATTTTTTTGCAGAATGTGTATTTCTTTGTACTTTCGTGTTAATACGAGCGTCAAATCTTATAGGATACTAGTGGCCCGCCCTCGCTTCGCTTCGGTGTAGAGCTGAAGTGTAGACTACAGTTTTTGTTCTCAGGCTTGTATTATACACAATGACATTGATCTATGATTCTTCTTATACCTGCATGCAAAGTCTCAGCCCGATCGGTTTAAAATTGAGAAAGTTTCATAGAAACTTTCATTCCCTATTTTATGCCCTTGGGGGGTAGAATTGATCAAAATCCTTTCTTAGCGGATGGCTATGTCATAACATCTACCTGCATGCCAAATTTCAGCCCATTCCGTCCAGTGGTTTGGGCTGTGCGTTGATAGATCACTATGTCAGTCAGTCAGTCACCTTTGAGTTTTATATATATAGACTAAGGAACTTTTCTCGTAAGAATACAACTCAAACTTGGCCGGTTCACTATAGTTTAAAAGACAGCTATAGGTAAGTAACAATACACTTACTTGAATTCTCATCGCCTTCACGATACATTTCCTTTTGCCGCACCATTTGTTACTATTCCTAGTGTAAGAAATCTTCTTTGTTTTCTTCGAACTAGAAAGAAAGAAAGGAGAGAAATATTAATCACCTACCTATTAAACTTTAAGTAAGTATTTATATAGTTAAAGCATTTTTCGCAAAAAGAAATAGCCCGGCACGAGACCAGTAGTTTAAGGTTTTTTTTTTCATAAATCGTCTGGTTGGTTGTAGATTAAAACTGATCTGAGTAGTAAATAAAACAGTTTGATTTTTTTATTTAAAAAAAAAACATTTATTTGTTTCATAATTTATTGTTTTTCACGTTTTGCATAATTCTGACGAAGCAGCCAGAAAAGGATGTCAATTGCAAAAAAGTGCAAAAGTTTTTTGAACTTGTTTAAGTTTGTTCCATTTAATGAGTGGTGTGCGTGAATACTTAAGAAACAATTATTTATCATAATTTTATAAGATTTTTAAGAATTACGTATATGTTTAAACAAGAAACCTATTTTTATGGTTTTGTGAATCTGGGGAGATAGATACTTTTCAAAGCACATTATTTAAGTGTAAGTGATATATCCACAAACCTACATAATAAACACTTTTTTGTGTACAAAGCAAATTACTCCATTATATATGTGTAAAGTGCTAAGAGTGTCATTGCAAAGATAGCTGAGTTAGTAAGGATTCATACAAGCATTTCTATCCTTGCTTGCTTAATTAAACCCTATTTTGCAAACCCACTGATATCTAAAGGATTTTCTCACTAGAGCTTTAAATAACCTTCAGATCAGAATGCAGTTATTATCAAATCGAAAATCTTAGAAAGATTAAATAAAAAGAAGATACAGTTACAAATACGCAGCCGAAACATTATATCTTAGTAAAAAATATAAATCAAATTATTGTATTGATAATATAACAGGTATTATTTCTTCAAAATAAAGCGAGTGTGCTTATGACCACACGACTAAAGTGAAACTTCTTTAGCTCCATCTGTATGTATATATGTGTAACCGGTGACACTTTTCGTAACGCGTAACTCGTAACGTATTCGCTAGTTTACCCCCCAAGTCAAGCGTGTCTAAAGAAGTTTCACTTTAAAAATCTTAACTGACGAGGAATTCGCCGTCATATATTCTAACCTTAAGCTTAAGGAAGTTATGGTAACTAAATAGTTAAATTATAATACAATATGAAAAATATTCATTATCTTGAGAATTCAAAAAAGATAAAAAAAAAGCTAAGCAAAACAAAGGTTTAAATTTTCGTCACGCTTCACCTTATTTTCACAGCGCATACTCCTTGGTCACCTTCCGATAAACCAAACGTTTCATCGAAGTATTCCGTTAGCAACAACAGCGCAAAACAAAACACAAACTGTCTCAAAAACATTTTCACCGAATCGTTTTCAAAAATAGAACTTCAAAAAAGTTTTTGAGATCATAATAAAAAAAAATACGAAAAATAGAAGAAGACAAGTTTTCGTTAGGTACTTAATTTTTCACACCACCATTACGTTTCGGATACAAATACATTGTGAAGGGCTATCACACAATCTACTTAAAAATGCCCATATCATTAATAATTGTCAATTGTTAACTCATAATGCGGACGAATACATTCCTTATTCCTAACATGTGAAGTATCCTTTTTAATTTGTTGATAGCTCCAATAGAAATACGCAAGTTTTGCATATGGCTTCTCTTGTTCACAGATTTTAATAACAGATTTCTCTAATACTGATTTTTAAAGTTAAGTTTTGGAAAGTTATATTTTAAGCGACACTATTTCAATTGTTGAGTAGTCTATTAAATATTGACTTTTTGCAATTTTTGTAGACTGAAATAAACCTGTAGTACAATTATTTAAGAGTTGACTGAAATAATTTAATTAAGTAACTAATCGTAAACTAACACAAATAAGGTTTTCATATCAGATATTTTAAGCTAATATATTTAAAGCTAACGAACCATCGGTTCAACATATCAATCAATCACTCAATTTATCGGTTAACTTCTGAACTGTTGCATTCAATCATCGAGTCAGTATCATCTTATAAAGTAATTGAAGAAGAATTAACTGAATTCTTTTTTTTTCATTATTATTAATTTTCGATGAATTCTTTAAAACCGATGTACACGACCAAACAATAAGCAGTGGTCGGCAATAAAGACAAAAAGATTTTTTTTCTATTTTTTAATTAAATAAAGTTACAAATGTAAAAACCTTATAACGAGTGTGACCTCTTCTTGCCAAATTCACAGCTTGAATCCCTTTGGGCATATTTTAATGACGTTTTGAGGAATACATTAGCACTCTCCTGCAATGACCCCCTGATGTTTGTGGAGCAGGATGCACTGATATTACCCGTCTCTTTGAAATATCCCAAACATGCTCAATTGGAGTGAGATCTTTGAGCTGGCCAATCTAAACGACGGATCCAAACTTCTTGCATGTACGCTTTCATGTCACCAGAACCATGCGGGCGAATATTGTCGTCAATAAAAATGGAATCTTCCTCTAATGCAGTCAATGCGGGTTGTGCACATGGAATTGGAACTTCCGTTATGAACTCGTATGCCATTAATGTTTCATTTTCTATGAAAACTAACTCCGTACGCTCCGTCGAATTAATTACTGCCGAAAACATAACGGAGCCTTAAGGAGTATTTTTTTCGAAACACACTTTCGCATAGGGTTCCCATAGTCTTCGCAGCACTCCTGTCGTATCTCTTCACTCAAAGAATTTCTACCATCTTCAGAAAACAATACTTTATTCCAGTCCTTCAGAGTCAATGAAGCACAGTTTCGAGTAAACTGAAGTCAAGCAACACGGTGCTCACAGAGTAATTCAGGGCTTCGGGCCGGGCGGTAACTCCTGATATTGGCAATCAAAAGCCTCCTCATAACCATCCACAAGCTAACTTCTACTCCTCTTGCTACTCCAAGACTCTTCTTTAGGTCCACACTTGATGCCTTACGATTCCGCAACGCCTGACTGACCAAAAAGCAGTCATCGGTCCGGTGCATCGCTTTCTTCCCGAACAGAGTCTTCTTTGACGGAACCGGTCTCTTGATACAATTGCAAAGTCCTCTGGACAGTTGAACGACTCACATTTAACCACTGAGACACGCAAGTTTGCGAACAACTTTCTTCAAGTAGGGCTATAATTTTACCAGTCCTTATCACTCATATCAGAAAGTGTTATTTAATGTAAAAAGAAAGATTAAATTGTTCAATTTGCAGAAAACGTCCAAAAAAATTTTTAGTAACCAGTAAAAATTCGTTTCTGTAATTCATGCCATTAGTAAAGCAATTTTACAATAAACCGCAATATTAATTATTTTTCTTTCGTTAATTTCAAATTTTAAATATGTAACTTAAAGAATCATGATAGAATGCTTCAAATAACGTGCCATTACATTGTCAAATTAATAAAACCTCTTTATGTAAATATTCATTGAAGTAGAGAAAAAAATCTAAAGTGCCCTTTTTTTTTAAAATAGTTTATAACCAACTTAGAAAAACATTAGATAATTCCATCAAGTCATTTAATTGAGTAAGAAAACCTTCTTGACTGTTTCCGCTACGTTTCAACAAGTACTTGATTAAACCCTGGTCACTTCAGAGATTAAAATCTTCTTTTAAATAACTCTTACAAATAATTGATAGAGTCGATTATTTTAAAAAATAATATAAATTAAAACTTTTTGTTACAACGACTAAGATCTTTATGAATGTGGCGAAAATTGGAACTAACGCCGCCGTTTTTGTAAACGTCATAATTTGTAAATTATTTACTGAGACAGTGACGCGCTCTGTTAACTGTCACTCACATTCTTAAAGATCTTGAACGCACACTATTAATTTTGATTAATACTTTTTATAATATTGTTATCATCGTACTGAAATAAGAAATTGCCCAGCCAGTTTTTATTTTAACATGCAATACTTGCATTTTCATTCATTCATATGGAATTGTTATTTTCATTGGGTAACTCTACTCTAATACGTGTGGTTTTATAATAGAATGAACGCAAAAAAATTCCAATCGGTGACTAATAAACTGACATTCTGTTTTATTTTCTGTAATATTTACCAACAATGTAATACAAGTTCCGATGTTGGTACCTACTTTTCCCGAACTTTCATGTGGTACGCAATTTAATCTACATGCACCAAACATTTCCTCGAAGTGGATTGAACGGAAAATCATAATATCAGTTGCGGAACAGACGGACAGAACACACAATGTATCTACTATTATATTATCTAAGTTCACAGAAAGTGGGGTCAACAGCAGCGCAGCGAACCACTGAGATAACACTCTCGCCAAATGATACTGTCGGAACTTCGTATTTATTTTTGCTCACCGATAAAGCCCTTTTATAAAGTTAAAGAGTTTTATTTATATCGATATTTTTATCGATACAACAAATTGCAGAACGCATTTAGTCGTCAGGGCACCCGGTGTGGGGGCCCCCGGGCAACGAAAGATTGGAGGCCCCTAAATCCGGGTCGGACCACCTACAAATTGCCATTTTATGTTTATTCAAATTGGATGTATACTACAACTCTTTTGAATCGTCCAAAAAATTTTATTTTCTCTAGCACTCGTTATTGGACATATGGAGAAAGCGATCAAAAACATCCACAACATTAAAAGTATAATGTAACAACATTTACAAATCATTATGTTGTTACATCGTTAATACAATCATGATGAATTTTATATAGAAAACCTGTTGGAATGTTTGGAACAGTTCAAACCCAAGCATTTTTTTCTGTAATATAATTCGACACTTTGTAATGAGCTTTTACAATAAGTGTTTTTGTATAGTGTTTTTAGATTTATTTATTGTTAACTCTTGGATATTGCTTCGAGCTTTAATGTATAAGCGAACACAAACACTTTTAAATGAATTATTATTTTTAAGAAACAAGTTAATATTTTTTCTTACAAGTAATAAATTTCGTAAATGTATTGTGATGCGACCATCATTATACCAATTTCTTTAAATTTGTCTCTTAAGGATTCTTAAACTAAGATTTTCAATTGATCCAATAGCTCTCTTCTGGAGTACAAAAATAATGGCGGCGGCGTTTCCCCACATTAAAAATCCGTAAGACATTCTTCTTCTTCAACCTTTATTCACCCACTGCTGGGTATAGGTCTCCTCCATGGTGTGCCAATTTGCTCGGTGTTGTGCGATCCGGATCCAGTTTCTTCCAGCAACTCCCTTGATGTCATCGGACTATCTGGCGACATTACACTATGAAAATAAATAAATAAATAATAAATATATATATAAAGTACACTAATCTGTCGTATCTACATCCTTTAACTGGCGTATCTTCATTCCGGCATATACTGCAGAGATAAGTCTATTTGACAATTTATCAATATGTGGCTTCAAGCTTAGAATCTAAAGTAATCCCTAAGGAGTATTCTCCTATTCTTTACAGTTCCATATTCCTATCCTTTACATTCACATTAGTTTTTACCTGTTTAACATTCGGTAATACCTATATCATACATTTAGTTTTTCCTTCATAAAATTATAAATTATTAACATTGAACCAGTGGACTACCTTAGAGATACAATTGTTCACGTCGTCAATAACTGTTTCCCAGCGTTTGAGTTTACATAAAAGTGATATATCATCCACTAACAATACTATCTCACAGTTATCTCTTACATAGTAAGTTAAATATTATATAAATTAAAAACAAGAGAGGACCAAGGATTGAGCCCTGCGGAACACCCATCTTAACCGGCGGACTCGGAGACTTATTGCTATTAATGTCAGCCCTTTGAATCCTATCTTTCAGGTATAATGCAATAGGACCCAGATTGGTATCTTTAAATGCATAGTGGTGGAGTTTCCTGAGTAGTTTCATGAAAAACGCAATCATAAGCCTTGGCCAAGTCGCAAAACACACCTAGAGCGTCCCGCGAGTTCTCCCAGGCATTAACAAACACCGGCATCGGTTGTTGAGCGATCCTGTGTGAAATCAAATTGTTTACCGTGAAACCGTCAGTGTCTGGAATAAAAAATAAATATTTTATTATCGCTTTAGTTGTGTGTTCACTTTAAAAAAAATCAATTAAAATAAATATTCAGATTGTTCGATACCATAGCCGTGTTTTTTTGCCGTTTTTGCTGGATATTGTAATACGGTGAGAGGTCTTATGTTTTATAGATAATGTACGGAACCCGTTGCGTGACTCCAACTCGCATTTGGCCGGTTTTTTAATGAATGATACCGTCATTAATTCTGGTACTAGTTGATAAACACACTGGCTTGCCAAATATCATATTTAAAAAATGTAAACTATAGAAGTTAGAAATTTAAAATAAAAAACGTTTTATAACAAGTTTTAACAGCTCTCATTGAAACTGTAGCACAAAAGTGTTGTAGTTTCGAGTCCTTATTATTATAAGGACTCGAAACTACAATAAAATGAAAATATCGGAACGATTATGACGAATTGTAAAAATTAATGGCATAATATTTCCCATTTCATAATCCATTACCGTATTATTAAATCTTATTTATGATTGAAACCAAAATAGAAG